CAGGTATCTCAGTACCAAAGCCTGCGAAAGCGTGCCTTTTCTTCTTCCACACAGTCGTCGCAAAAAGATTTCTATCGCGCATTGGCTCATGCTAAGCATAAAAGGACGGAAATTTCGAATTCCTTTCAAACCGAAGCTCCATACAAGCAGATTTCAATGTTGCGTAAATACCGTGTCGGTATGTATGTTGTTGATATCTTAGATTATAGATACATTCATTGAAATGCCAACGGTAATTTTAAATTTTAGGTGAGCTTCCAGACATAGAAATTAAACATTCGGACATAATTGGTCCGCTACAGGCACTGGCACAGCGCGACCTGGAAATATCTCGCATGTTATTCACCTCAATCTTTGTTTCAATTTATAATCATGTTGATGATCATGTTGATATGGTAAGAATTGTACATTATATATTGTATGCGTCTAAATGATTCGTGGTAATAAGATACACGTATATCTATCAGGAACCCAATGTGCAAGAAGAATACAAGAATTCGATTGCTCAAAATATCCAATCTATTTTCATCAACTCAACCACATATTTCCCACCGTTGATAAACAGTTGTTTGAGGATCTGTTTCGAAGCCGTCGACATAAAAGTGGATCCAACGGTTATAAGAAAAGCTAGTGAAATCAGTTCAACCGAATCATTAGGGATTAGTTTAATCGAGCGGCAATTATTGCGCTTCATTTCACCAAGAGGTACAGTTCAAGGTTATATTTCTCACCTAAATTTTTTTTTTTTTATTCTAAAAAAATTTATAATTTTAGGGTCAAAAAGGGTTCGTGCTACTGATTCCGGAACCGCCGCTGAAAGTATGCTTCCTTGGGTGGAGTTGGCATACCTTTATAAATCGATCGATGGGCACGACGTCTACAAGAGCATTTATGAGTGTCACATTGCTCATAGTCAGGTGACCAAGGGTAGGTTTTACCAGCTATGATATAATAATGTTCAAGCAAATGACAGTTTTAATTGACTTTACTTTTTTGTCTACTCAGATGCTCTCAATGCTGAGCTTATTGGTGACTATGCTTCGGCGTGTCAGCTTTATTTGGACGCCCTTGGCCATGAGGACGTGGACGTCGACAATAACGAGGTTTGTCTCCCAATTCTTTTATGTTGCTTCCGTTATATTATCATTTCAAGAAATTCAAGTAATTTTTAATCTCTGTTAGATCAGAGTGTGGGAGGAAGGTAGATTCGAATGTTTTATCAAGCTTTCACAATGGGAAAGCCTGGCTGACACTGTGTTGATTGACATCGATAAAAGTTTTGATAAACTCTGGGAAGATGAATATCAGGTTTTCTTTGATTTTGCGTTTCCATTTATATCATTTTTCAGAGGTTATTATATTACTAAATACCTTCTATCTCAATAGGATCCATATCTTCAATACTTCATGCACAGCATGTTTAAGTTAGCCCATGGCACTGACGACCACGACTTTCATCGTCAAATGTTTTTGGATTTCATTGAAAATGCTATGACCGATCCGGATCGTAAGACACTTCTGACTTCTCAGTACCCAATAGGTAAGTTTGAATAGCTTGCTTTAATATTTAATATTTTCTGTATATACGAATTATCATTTTTTTATTTTCATAGAGTTGGCGTTGACATCGATTGCTCGAAACGAATTTGCGCAGGCGCGATCATACGTACAAAAAGCATATGATAGTTTTTTATTCAACTGGTCGACTCTGCATCCTTTGGCATTGGGCATCAGATTAGACAAATTGAGCTCGTTGCAGCAGGTGACAATTAATTATTAGCAGAGTTAAATTCAATAGAGTTCAACACTATTGACGTCTTTTTTTACTTAGATTGTTGAAATGGAAGAGTACATAAACCTCGTGCAATCCTCGAATAGGTCAGAAAATTGGGAGAAATTAGTCGCTCATTGGATTAAAAGGTAGATCCTATAAAATACTCATTGAGGAGATGGACTTGAATATTATAACCATTGATTGTTTGTGTAGATATCCCTCAAAGCAACTTGATCCTACCAATACTTGGGATGACATAATAACATGTCGCCATTCCATCATTGACAACATGTTGAATTGGTTGGAGAATGACCGAAAGGTGAGCGGAAATCTTTATTTTAGCCTACTTAAAGATCTTAACTGAAGGCAATATTGATAATTAACTTTGTGAAAAGTTCAATTCGGTTATGAATATTCTTGAAAACCAAGGCCTGTTGAAAATGTCTTCAGCTGCAAGAGTTCAGGGAAATTTTGCGGTCGCTCGTGAATGTCTCAAAAAAGGTCGATCTCTAGATCTTCGTTCTACGAACGACTTCAAATATCATCAATTTAAGCTTAATCTTAAAGAGTCCATAACTACTTCTGATTCCAAAAAGCGGATCGACATTCTATTGGCCATGGCTGACGAATTTGGAAGACTGGAGGTAGGTTTCTATGATATTCCACTTTCATTCTTATTAAATACAGATCCTGAGTTCTTGTCATTTTTTAAAGATTTCCGACGTAAAAATTAATATGAAATGCCGAATTATTGAGAGTGAAACATATTCTCTTCTGACGGCTGAATTCGACAAACCCGAATCTACTACGAGTTACCCTTCTCTCAAAGGTCGTAAGCAAAGTTTTATGAAGTCCGGATTTGATCTTTTGAACAACATATCCGAAAAAGCGGTGCTGCACCTTAAAGTAATTTAAGTTATTATTTTTTATTGTTTCCTTTGGATATACTCATTACAACTTCATATGTATGCATTTATTTATATCATGCTTATAGTCTTCTAATCAAGCCAAGGTCTTTGTCAAATTTGCAAAATTCTGCGATCATTTTCTTCGTTCTTTGGAATCCAACGATGACCTACATAATGTATTTAACTCAAGCTTAAGATTCTTGCATAAATCAAGGATTATCCTTTTTACCCAAAAACTTCTTTGTTTACCGCATAGGTGACCTTTGATAAAGACCTGTATGCATCCACCGTTATACAGAACATTTTGCAAGCAATGGATTATGGATCCAAAGAAGCTTTAGAATTCTTTCCACGATTGCTTCAAATAATTGACATTTATGAGCGATCTCAAGGAACTTTTGAAGAGAAGGTATTTTCATGGTGAAAACTCCATATAAAAGGACTGTCACTTCATCTTTTTTGTTCGTATTTTTACCGATTGCCCAGGTAAAATCATTCGGGCCCGTGTGGAGGTTTATTCGGTGGATCCCACAAATTGTAGCTGTTTTGGATAAGCCCACCGCCCAATGCGTTTTCCCAATACTTTTCGAGGTAACTTTATTGCCGAAAATTTGAACACCATAATTGACTTTTAGTAGACAAGGAGAATAATTGGAATTTATCATTGTTCTTCTTATTGTTAGCTCTCGAGATTATATCCAAAGAGCTTATACTACCCCTTGAAAATCAGCAGCGATCATTATAAATTTGATGAGAGAAACAGAGCCGTACGGGAAAATAAAAACAAAATTCAGCAGTTAAAGCAAATTATTAAGAGTGATGTGATAGACACCCTAATAGGAGAACTTGAGAGGCTCACCAATCCAGAAACTGTTTTTTACAGTTGGTGCCTAACAATCAATGTAAGATGCCTTATCACGATCACTTATTAATTGTTTATTTGAGATCACAAATCATTTGTTAACCAATTTATAAAGCAATACATCAGGGAAATGACCAACGGTATAGATCGGTCTGAGGATATAAAGGCATCATTCATGGAAATGAAAGCATTTTTGTTAGATACCGGGAACCCTCGCTATGGAATTTTTGATATCCTCCACTTTAAATGAAATGAGAATATTAATTACCACAAGTTTTTTACTTCAAATTCATTCTTAACTCTTTTCTCACCTAGAGAATTTGCCGAAAGTCATTCTGGTTATATCAATAAAATCTGCGGTAAGCGATTTGGTTAGCTTCCAATGAGATTATTATTACTTATCTAACTTCTTAATGTTAAAAAAAGGCACCGACGGAATAAATTTAACCAAAATGAATAATCAAAAATTCCGAGAAGTAATTTGGAGTTATCATGAGAAATCCATTAAACCGATGGAGAAGAAGATATTTGGAGTCAGTCTGTTGAAATTTTATTCTCCATGGCTTGCCGAGTTTTCTTCGTCAAATATAGATGAGGTATAACTTTAATTGCATTTTCAAAAATAAAAAAGTGAATTCTTTCGCAACATGCTGATGAAGAAAATTTTAGGATATCGAAATTCCAGGTCAATATGATGGGCTAACTATTCCAGACCCAACCCGTCACGTCAAGATAGCACATTTTGATCCTAAACTGCTTGTGTTACGATCAATGAGAAAGCCCAAGAAAATAACTATCCTGGGAACGGATGGCAATGAGTATCCGTTTCTGGTGAAGGTAAAAGAAAAGATTTTTTTTCTTTATCAACAAAATTTTTTCTTATCCGTCAACTATTTTAGGGAGGTGAAGATCTACGACTGGATCAAAGGGTTCAACTGCTGTTCACCGTCATGAATGAATTAATGCGCAAAGATTTTTATTGCTCCCAGCGAAAAATAGCGTTAAGAACATACAAGGTTAATCTTTAACTTCGTGCATCAATGAATATCGTAATATTGTCTGTCTGACCTGATCTTTTTGAAGGTTGTACCTATGACCGGTAGCCTAGGAATAATAGAGTGGATACCCGATACCGAACCAATTAAACAGATCATCGAAAAAGAACTCTTTAATCAAAATACCATTTGTGATAGTCAGTTTGAGCATGACAATTGGGTGAAAGATAATTATCAAAGTGGGTGCACGTTCAAGATAAATGATAAGCATTCCTTAAATGGTTAACAATCTATTCGATTTAAGGTTACCAAAAAATGTTTACGAAAGTAAACCGTGAAGAAGTCGTTAAACACATGATGAAACTTCAAAGTATGATCAATGGAAATTCTCTCAAAAAAGCATTATACAAGCTTGCGGCTTCACCAGAAGTTCACTTGTCAATTCGTGCGGAGTTCGTAAAAAACCTTGCTGCCATAAACGTTTGTGGCTATTTGATCGGCAAGTATTGCGATTTCAGCTTATTTTCATTATTCGATTCATGATTCTAAATTTATTTACAATGCGACTGCATTCACAGGGATCGGAGATCGGCATATGGAAAATTATTTAATTGATTTTACAAAGTAATCCTCTTACTGTCGATTAATGTTTAATGACCTTTTGTCACATTGTAAAGACTAAACTCATCATTAATCCGAATCAACAGTGGCTCCCTAATTTCAATTGATTTTGGTCACGCCTTTGGGTCTGCAACGGAGACACTCGAAGTTCCAGAATTAGTTCCTTTTAGACTTACCAGGCAGATAGAATCTTTGATGGAGCCTTTGGGTTCCAAAGGTCTTTTAGAATACCCAATGATCAAAATAATGCAAAGTAAGTTTCTTTGATTTTAAGATCTCTTGGATATATTTACAACTTACGGACCTTACTTCTTTAGTCATGCATGCGAATAAAGATATATTGTTAAATTCAATGGAGATCTTTGTCAAAGAACCTTTATTGGATTGGCAAATACGAGCAAGAAGAAAAGCCAATAATCAAAGTAAATTTATTGATATTAGCATGCCTGGAGGGTATATGTTATTATGGAATTCAAAGTAATTATTAATGCATTTTACAGAAAATCCAGAAAGCAGTGAAATCGATAATGAAAAGGCACATACAGCAGAATGGTATCCACGTCAAAAGTTGGATATCGCCCAACGTAAACTTAGCGGCGAAAATCCTGCATGTAAGCTCGAATCTTTCACTGTAACTGTTATTAAGTTTTGCAATACTCATGCATTATTTGCATACATCAGACATCATCTGCGAAGAATTGTTGGCCGGACATTCGAATAAAAATTTTATAAAACACATTCAATCCATAGCCAAGGGAAGTCCCGAGCATAATGTCAGAGCCCGTATACCACGAAAATGTAGTAGCGTTAAGGAACAGGTTGAATGTTTGATTGATCTCGCAACGGATCCTTTTGTACTCGGTGTAATGTATGTGGGTTGGGTTAGCTGGGTCTAGTTTCTGTATCAATGTAGACCAAATAAATCAAATAGGCGAAATAAACTTTGTTTAAGTATTTGGTCATTATGGCAAAGTACTTTTAGAGAAAGGTAAATATCAACACTATATGTATCTTTAAAATGAGTGAATGGGTGATTGTATTAAAAATCTTATGTATCTTTAAAATGAGTGAATGGGTGATTGTATTAAAAATCTTATGTTTACTGTTGATCTATTGCTAATTGTATGTTGTTAATTAATTTAAGGTTTAATCATGGGCATAAAACTCCAATTCATAGTTAATGCTATTATGGAATTACATAATAAATCCTCAGAAATGCAGTATTTATGTACAGTATATACAATATAATAATTCTTTGTAACATAAATAAATATATATATATACAGTATATAGTATAATATTGCACACAGCTTTTACATTATAAAACATGTGTTAATAAATAGCTTAATTTAAAATTACTTTTTTTTTTTAGATAACATTTTATATAAACTAAAAAATTAAATTATTAACTTGTGCTAGATTTTTGATAGTACGTTTTTTTTTTTTGAGTCTTGATCGCATACGCAGCATATTACTGTGTACAGTATTTCAGAATGACCACGTAATTATTTATTCGGATGTGTATCTCATTATCAGTAACCAAGTATGTGGCTTTATCATCAGGATCCTCTCTGCTTCATGACTCGAGGACAACGCAGATGATTGCATAAAGAGGCTCTGAAACATATACAGTATATACAGTATATATTTACCCAAGATTCATTGGTAATATTTGAAACTAATCATTCACACTCAACCTATTATTTGCAGCCCAATAATCGTATACAGGAAAAAAAGGAGTCACAGTTAACAATTTTTGCTCTTGAGATTATCGGATTGTGGCTCAGAAAAGAAAAACGGAATAGATGATTCGTAAGTTATTGCATTGGCATTTATATTATTAGAGTATAGTATTCAGGCTGCTAATAACACAACATTGTAATATTCTTGAGGTTAAATACAGTGAATTTATTTGTTATGTTATATTAAAATATTATCACAAACTAGGTAACTCAATTCTGTGAATTGCTACAAACGATCTAGATACCATGGTGCGTGTGGTGTCATGACGTTAGTCGTTAACTATAAGCGCCATTATGTAAATTGTTCAAGGAGTTAAAAGATAATTTGGCGCTAGCTCACTACAATGTCCATCAGGCATCGTTACATTCCAAATAATGAAAGATTACGGTAAGGAATTGTGTAGAACCTATTTTATTTATTGTAAGAGAACGATAACTCTGCAAAAGTATAGCATATAGATTCTATACGACAAATTTTTGTGGAGAAATGATTTGAGCAATCTCAAGACGCATTCAATGAAGATAACTCATTTACATTCTCAGGAATACTTTGTGTCCGAGAAATCTGTCATGCTGTTGCATGGAAGCCAATATGCATTATTTGAGGAACTTTATTATGTGATTCCATATTTTATTTTCATTAAGCTTGAAGTTTGAAATGTATAAAACGATCTGTTTAACTTGATTAAGAATTCAAAGACGGATATGAACTTTAAATCGCTGCAAATAATGCAATTACAATTATAAATAAGTCGGTATAGCAGTAATACCGATATTCCAGAACTGATTTAAGTTACAGCGTCTCTGATTACACTCAATTTAAAGGGGACAGACTTGAGTAACGTGATATCCAAAGGGCATAATTATGGTGTAAAGACTCGAGAGAGAATAACATATCGGTTGTATGATTTAGAAAATGCCGATTCTTTAAATCACAAAATGTTATTTTCCGATGGAGGTTTCTCATTATTGGTGGTAGTACAGAGAAAATCTATATTTATTATTTATTATGTATTCTAAACGACACACTCGTACAATTTATAGTGTGACATTCTCTCCGGTTCCCAACCGACATAGGGCAGCTCAGATAACACAATGCAGCTGTAGTCCCTCTAGATCCCGATCAGGATCCGTACATTTTAGGACATATTAAATATGTTACACTATGCTCCTGATGGGTAACCACTTAAAACCTTCCACGCACTTTATTACATATTAGTTCCATCTTTTCTGTCCTTATAACTGGATGGTACTCAACTAGCGTGGGGACGGGACGGTTTTTGATGTGGACCTTCAAGACTATTAATCAAAATTCGGGCATTTTAGGACATATTAGTTCCGTCCTTCTGTGGGTTTCTCTCCTGATGGCACCAACCAGTATCAGGCAGTGGTGATGAACGTGTGCGGCTGTAATCCCCCAAGACTCCTAAACTGGACCTGCATGTTCTAGGAAATACTGGTGATGTTAATACTGTGACTTTCTTTCTAGATGGTACCCACGGCTGTGGTCCATCACTTATTAAAATCTGCACATCCTAAGACATATTCGTACAATTACCTTCTCCCAGCTAGCAACGGATAACTTGAATACAGTAATACGGTGCGGCTGTGGTCCCTCAAACCTCCGATCAAGATCCGCGTATTCTAGAATATACTAAAGCGTTAATACTGTGTGACCTTCTCGTCAGGAAGCTCACATAATAAAAGTGTGGTGTGGTTCCTCGCATTCTAAAGGGACACATGAATTACATATTCTTTTACAGTATTTAAAATCAACCGATTTTATTACTGGTGTAATTCATACTATATTGCCACGGTCGATCGAGTCTGTCGCTAACAGGCAAGTTTATGATTAGAGATTTGATTAAGCGTAGAGAGAGGCGTATACAATTTGGTCGATAACTTTGTTTGGATTTTTACTTGTACTTTTATACATTTTTGAAATAAAAGAAGCAAAAAGATAAGAAAAGAACACAAATGTTAATATGAGAAACTACATAATCTACCACTCCTAACATCGCGTTCTGACCGAACCTTATTTCCCTTCTTACAGTATCTTCTCGGTTTAATTTATAGCCTTGCTCGGATAATGCAGAAGCCGGAGACTTTTGTTAACCGGTGATTCAATAAGGGCGGCATGTAGAAAAAATAGATAAGCAAACGTCACAAGTCACTCTGCATTGGACTTAGCATTAAGCTATATTATAAATTTCCAAAGTGTTTATTCAAGAAGCAAAGGTTTGAATTCAATGAATACCTGTCTGTTGAAGCAAAGAGGTACCATTAAAAATTCATAGCTTTACTGAATGAAAATTATTGTATATTAAAATTGTAAAAATATTATACATGACTATGACTCAATAAAATTTAGACAGGCAAAATAATTTACGTCGCGTGTTTTGTTTCGTTCATTCGTTTCTGCCTTACCCTTGAAATTGAATCCAATATGAATAAATAAAGTTAGTCTTTACTATGCATATCGTATCCCATATAGGTTCAA